GAATCAGCTCCGGGTGTTTATTTGAAGAAATGACTCTGCGAAAGGCGACGTTGTCCCTATATTAATCTTCGCACTTTAATCGCGAATTATTACGCATATATATATATATATACATCTGGACAACTCGTGTCACGCTTATCTGCTATTATTAACTAATATGAAATGCGGAACCTCGCAGAAATCCCCGACTCTGTTTAAAAAATCTCCTAGAATTATTATCATTTTTCCAACCGTTTAAAAAAATTACAGAGAGAATGTCATAATATATTTTCAATTGCTTTGTTTCGAGAAATTTAATATGAGATAACCGACGTTATCTGTGCCAATCTGTCTGTCGCAACTGTTGTAAAATGTGCGGCGACATCTCGTCTGGAACGAAAAGATTTCAGTACCGTTTGCATTATCGTATCGTCAGTCACGGATCGTCGATTCTTCCGGTCAGGCTTTCACCGTTAAAACTCATCCTGGATGCTCCATCGTGCGAGACTGATTGTTCTCCGGTCTGATCGCGAATTATGCGTTTTCTAATGTAACGATAAGACTGTGCTAGATTTAATTCCCGAAATGGATTTTCAAATTAATTTGACAATCTTTGCAGTTTCTACGGATTAATTTTTTTCGAAAATGTGACGTTTCTTTAAAAGTCCGTATATGACGGGCATCAAATGTCAATTCGATTCTTTATCATCCTGTTTAATAGAGATAACTCTTTCTTTTTTTTCTTATTTTATTTTTGTATAATTGTTTCATTTTACGCTCATTAAATACTAATCGAAGCAATCAGATGCTAGCAATATAAAATGCGCAAGTAATTGTAACACCATTCAGTCGATAAGTTTCGCGAGACGATTCTTGTTATGAAAAGCCCAAGTTTAAGATAAGAAACTTTATTCAATGTATCGTTGAATCTCTTATCGAAATCAAAACAATCATAAAAAAGACCATATATATATATATACAGTCCCAAAATATAAATTTATACGAATTTTACTCATATAAAACGTGTTGAAGCACTATATTTACTAAAACAACATGCATTTTAATTCGTAAATACATTTGTAAAAACAATATTTTTACTGCAATTTGCGTCGAGCGCATTTTTTCAGCTTAAACGAAAATGTCACGCCCGTTTACGCGACAGAGCACCGGCAGTGTTTAATACGCCTGAGAAAGAAAATAGCGCACGGGAAAAACGAGGGAGGCTGGAAATTGCTGGGCGTATTTTTGCGCGGAGGGACTCGCCTTGGCTGGCGCCTAATGCAACCGTAACGCAATAATTACGCTGTCGGAGGGCGCACTAATTAAGGTGAGAAGCGGAAAAAAAGTAAAGGGCGTTTAACTTTGCTGCCGTCGTTAGCTTTAAAGTTCGCAGCTCCTTCGAGTTTTTCCCGTCGCCTGTCATTCGCGCGCACATGAACCCGTCCCTTTTTTTTTCTATCGCATCTAGATTAAAATCGCGTATGGCCGTGTCAGCTATCTTTTGGCCGGTTGCCGATGATATCGGCTTAATGAATCGGTTTACGGTAATGTCCACAGAGGAATAAAGATGGAGAAGTAAAGGAACACGGAAACGCGAAATTAAATTGATATTTGCTGGTTAAAGTTGCATTATACTGATTACAGCTCTCAACGATTCAATGCTTTTCTATAAATAAAATATTTGTTATATATGCAAATCATGATTAGATTCCCAGAAGTTAAAATTATTATTATTATTATTATTTTTATTATTTTTTTACTATCTTTTATTGTTTAAATGTTATTATATTTTTTGATGAGAGATATAGTATTTAAAAAATATTCGAAAATTAAAGGAAAATCTATCAACGAATTTTTTTGTGTTGTCGAAACTTACGTAAACGCACTGCATATGTATTTCAATCAGATTGCATCAGAGTCGCACCTACGCGACGCGTCGCGCGAAGTCGAACAAACTTTTACCCGGATATCGCGCGACGGCTCAAATCCCGCGACAATAACCAGGACCTGCGCTCGCGTATATACATTTACGTTTACGTCATAAATCCCGACGTTGCGGCAAAGAGGCAAACCGGAAAGTGCCACGAGATCATTCGACGCCGCGCTACGCTGCATCTCGCGAGATTTCCTTCCGCGCGAGAGGGAAAGA